GCACTTCAGGCTAGGAGTCTGAGTCTAGCCTTGCCAACATAATGCCTCCTGCCTCGGCCTCCTAAAGTGCTGGGATTATAGGCATAAGCAACAGTGCCTGGCCTTATTAGTATTTCTTGCTTTATGGAATGTATCTTTGTCCCTAAATGGATGGCTGGACTTTGAACCTATGTTCTAATAATAATAACTAACAGTAAATGAGCACTGAGCACTTCAATTAGCATTTGCTATCTCATCTGGTCCTCATAATAACCATAACATTTTACAGATAAAACTTACAAGGTAAAATAATTTGTCTAAGATCACACTACAATTGAGTGGCAGAGCTCAAACCCTAAGTCCATCTCACTTGAAAGCTCACGTTCCTAACAGCTAAACTTAATTGAATATTCTGGTTGATAGTTTTGAAGAGTGCCTAGTAATTATCTTTATGTTTCTTTTTTGAAAAGCCAGGAATCCATGTATAACCTTTACTCAGACAGAGCAGGAACTGGCTGGCACGGTGGCTCATGCCTGTAATCCTAGCACTTTGGGAGGCTGGGACAGTAGAATTGCTTGAGGAGGAGTTTGAGACCAGCCTGGGTAACATGGCAAAACCCTATCTCTACAAAAAATACAAAACTTAGCCAGGTTTAGTGGCAAGCCCCTGTAGTCCCAGTTACTCAGTAGGCTGAGGTGGGAGGATTACTGAAGCCCAGCAGGTTGAGGCTGCACTGAGCTGTGCACTCCAGCCACTGTACTCTAGCCTAGATGACAGAGTAAGACTCTGTCTCCAGAAGAAGAGAGAGAGAGAGCATAGGAATAAAAATAGCCACTCCAGGCCGGGTGTGGTGGCTCACGCATGTAATCCCAGCACTTTGGGAGGCTGAGGCGGGTGGATCAGGAGTCAGGAGTTCAAGACCAGCCGGGCCAACACGGTGAAACCCCATCTCTACAAAAATATTTAAAAATTAGCTGGGCATGGTGGCGCATGCCTGTAATCCCAGCTACTCGGAGGCTGAGATAGGAGAATTGCTTGAACTCAGGAAGCGGAGACTACAGTGAACTGAAATCATGCCATTGTACTCCAGCCTGGGCAACAGAGCGAGACTTCATCTCAAAAAAAAAAAAAGAAGCCACTCCAACTCTAAAAAACACATTAAAACACGGCCACAAATGGTCACTGATTAATTCATTAACATGTTTTATAATAAAGGTCATGAATGTAAATATAAAAACCTTATAACTCAGTAACCTAAATAAAGTTCTGTTTTCACCCTATATCCCAGTTGGGAACTAGACAGAAATTGGACTTCTGTCAGTTATAGCCTATGTTCATGTGTTCAGGTGATCTTTCTCAATGATTGAAACCACCCATCCCAATCTTAAAAGCTCTTCCTAAAAACCATCTATTAAAATGGGATTATTTTTGGCCAAAGTATTGTTAGGTCCAGGCTTATGGGTGCCAAAGAATGTTTCAACTTGAGTCCATTTAAGACTTTCAAAGATCTGTTATCAAGCAAGCTAATATCTGATTTTTTAAAAAAATGCAAACTACCTTCATAGTCTTATTAGTATAGGACAATGTATGGTGATTGCTAAGTTCAATTTTACCTTTTTCCATTTCAGACCAGTCTTTATAATAATCTGCTTCCATAATAAGTACAAGGCCATGACCAAAAGCAGATGTTAGACTATGGACTTACAGTGAACTTGAGATGTTATCTTTTTTTAATTTTTGGTGCCACAATTTGGATCCAAACTGAGGTTGCTGCAGGCACAACACAGAGTACTAACCACTATATGATCATAGCTGTGATGTTCTTAAGCCACAGCACCTTCCATGGTAACTTTTATTTTGTTTTCTGTATCTGGCACTGTCATTAGATCCTTATGATTATTTTTTCAAGAATATTTTCAGTGAAAGTAAATTATTTCTTTCAACACAGACATAAAATTTAGATTTTTTCATTTTAACCTTTGTGGCTGAAAAAACTCACAGTTAAACCTATAGAATGATGTATTACATAATCTCGTACTCTAAATATACTTCTAACTTTGTCATGTCTGCAACATTTTTGCCTGTAAATCTTCTTGCTTTGGGAATTTTGCAACAGCCTTTGGCCAAACACAACAAAGTTCTATCCTCAGTTTTAAAAGAGTTATACCTGTTTTATGATTGAGGCATCAGTGAAAAGGAATTCAAGACTCCTTAATTCCACATGAAAGCTGTAATATTTCACCATTTATCAATTGTATAGATGATTTAAAGAATGCTTTAAAATAAAGTGATACCAATAAATGCAAGGTGGATTCTATTTAGTCACAGAAGCCATTTAGTGCAGCTTTGCATCAGATCTAAGATGTGCAGATGTAATATACCTGATGTGGAATATTCAGAAATAAACTATTTAATCTAAATTTTATTAGCAGTCAAATCTATTTTTCAGGTTTTTAAAAATGATCACTGATTAACCTTCCTTTATTCTCCTCTGGAGCAATCACAGACTATGGTAGGAAGCCATTTACTAGATTTGCTTGGAATTAATGAACTGAGGCTTTCCTGCTGAACTGTGTGGTTCCACTCTCTGCTTCCCCCAGACAGTTCATGAGCAATGTAATTTTCTTTCTTTGTAGAGGGTATTCCTTTAGTGTTCTTATTCATGAAATTAAAGTAATAAAAGGGAAAGATGTTCATAAAGAAGGTTTTTTTTTTCCTGACATGATTCCTTTTAAATCAGAAAACCACTTTAAATAAAATTTAATTAGGACGAAATATAGTATAGGTCCCCTCTGTAACAATTAGATTTGAAATACACAAGACACTGAATAATTTGTTAAATTATTTTCTATTGGCTTTCCCTGGTTCTATGCCAAACATGTCTTGGCTGCAACAGAGAGTGAGTGAGGAGGCTTCTGGGAAGAAAAAGAACATAATTATGGGGGCTCTAGAAGAGCATAGCTGCAATCTGGCACTTTGCAGAAATTTTGGAATAGGAATATAGCTCTTTTACAATTCTAACTCTACAGGTAAGGTCAACTTATAGCCTATGGGAGCTTTACAACATATCCCGAAAGAAACTCAAGCCTTGCCAGAGAAGTGACAGTAAGCCATATGGTTTTGTTTAGAGATATAAGGTTAAAGAATAGATTTTATGTACAGACAAAAATCTATTTTGAAGCTAGGGAGAAAATAAAAAGATTTTTTTTTTTTTTTTTTTTACTGGAAGCAAAACAGAAAAGAAAAACAAATCATAGCTATTTAGAACAAAGACCAAAACCTTTTCAACCCACTAAGCATCATTTAGGAACCAATATTAAAAGGAAGAAAATTAGTAAGTTGCCATATTAGTTCATAAAGTCCAACAAGTGTTTATTGTTAAGCAAAAGCTATACAAATAATGCAGTAAAATCATGATATATTGGAGAACCAAAACAAATAACAATAAAAAAATCCCCAAAACTCCATAGATAAAATGACATTCAGTTTAAAGAATGCTATGGCAGTCACTTTTCTCAAAGGATTGAAACAATTTTAATCCCAGCTGCCCCCTATTTTATCTAACAATAGATTGTTTAAATATGTGTCACTTCTGGTGAAGCTATTCATTTCACCTAAACTGCACAGAGTTAAGCCTCAGAATAATTTTATCACCTACAGACCATATGCAGACTAAATACAACACTTGTGCCTGATTCTGAATGGTATCTTATATCAAAATGCTCCCTTAATTTTAGCTCTTGCTTCTCAGGCTTCTCTTTCAACTTATCAGAACTGCCTATAGTAACCAAAATTGGATTCATGCAGAAAAAAATATATTTTAGGAAAACATGTGCAAAAAGCATCTAAGCATCTGTTAACATTAAAACCAGAAGGCAGTGTATGCTGCAGAGCACATAAGAAGAGGCTTTAAAATTTAGTAATTCACAACATCCACTTAGAAGTATTATGGTAGTCTTTTAAAGTAACACACCACAATGGTGCAATCATTTCATTTGTTCAACAAACATTTACTGAGCATCTACATGCCTGGCACTAAGCTGGGTACTGAGGATACAGTGATTAGTAAACAGAGATATAAACCACTACAGGTTTGTACAGTTTCTAAGGCTGAAAAGCAGAGACATTATCTTGGTAAAACTATAAAAGAGAAAACAAGGTCATCCTCTGATTTTTCCATTAGAGGCAGCTGTCACCCCCACTCCTATCCTAATTATGAAGGGATTGAGACAGACGATAAATGGGGGAAAGAAGTGAGAATAACAATAGGCAATTAGTGGTGAGAATTAGAAATGGGCTAAAACTACCAAAAGTAAGAATTCTTAATCTGGGGTCCAAGGAATCCGTGGATGTTTTCATGGGATCCTTGATCTCTCAGATAACTATATTTCAAATTCTGATATATGGATGTATATACATTTATTAGGAAGTTGGTCTTACCAAATCTAAAAGGGGTAGCATTCAAAAACAGCTAAGGGCCACTAAACTAAAAGAATGAAGTTCTACCGGGCGCGGTGGCTCACGCCTGTAATCTCAGCACTTTGGGAGGCCGAGGGTGGGGGTGGATCACCAGGTCAAGATATCGAGACCATCCTAGCCAACATGGTGAAACCCTGTCTCTACTAAAAATACCAAAATTAGCTGGGCGTGGTGGTGTGTGCCTGTAGTCCCAGCCACTCGGGAGGCTGGCGCAGGCACTTGAACGCAGGAGGCAGAAGTTGCAGTGAGCCAAGACAGCACCACTGTACCTCAGCCTGGTGACAGAGTGACATTCGGTCTCAAAAAGAATGAAGTTCAAGGTCTAGACATTGGATCGAGAAACTAAGGCAACTATTTTGAAAACACAAAGGTTTCACCAGTGTCCCTAATATCACACCATGTAGGTGGCTACCTATCCAAGTATCTGTCCTCCATTCAACTTCAATGGAAACTACAGAAATACCTTATAAATAAATTACAACCAATGAATGACTTTCAAAATGTATGATGACCTCTCTTTTTTTTTTTTTTTTTAACATACCTTTAAGGCTTCTATAACAAGGTCCCTTGCTTCAAGCTCTCCTTCAAGAATACTAAATAGTGTCAGGAGTTCAGGCTTGCTGAGTTTTTCCAGATTCATCTTGAAAGCCTAAAACAAAGGTAACAATCAGACAATCTCCAAAGACATCATTAATTTGATACAATTAAAGAAAAAATAAAGTGAGAGATAAGGGCAATTATAGTATCAAATGCCTTAATAAAGGAAATAGTTGCAATTAAATAGAAATATAAGTTTTCTGATGTTAATCACAAACTGAGCAGCAACAGAAAATAAAATTCACTTTAATTATTGATTTCACTACCACTCACAAAGATCAATTTTTCGTATTTCCTCCAGACATGTTTACAAACAAACATCCTAGAAAAATCTCAGAAAGAATTAGCCGCTAGGGCTGGTCGCGGTGGCGCACGCCTGTAATCCTAGCACTTTGGGAGGCTGAGGTGGGCGGATCACAAAGTCAGGAGATGGAGACCATCCTGGCCAACATGGTGAAACCCTGTCTCTACTGAAATACAAAACATTAGCTGGGCATGGTGGTGAGCGCCTGTAGCCCCAGTTACTCAGGAGGCTGAGGCAGGGGAATCACTTGAACCCAGGAGGCGAAGATTGGAGTGAGCCAAGACCACGCCACTGTACTCCAGCCTGGGCAACAGAGTGAGACTCTGTCTCAAAAAAAAAAAAAAAAAAAAAAATTAGCCACTAATTTTTCAGGTAAAATTGTGTTATAATGAATACCATTTCTCTGAAAAATGGTTAGACCATCAAAAGATTTCCCAGTTTTAGATAATCAATTTCCAAAACTGTATATAAAACATTCTGATATCCCTATTCAATTGGTTAAAATAAAATTTGGGCAAAGAGATAATGTTGCTGGGAGTACGGGAGAAATTTTTCTTTTAAATTGTCTACCTTCACAGACAATAGCTATCACAATATTTATATTTTATATAGTAAAATAGACTTAATTCAACTATATGCAAACTTACTTTCAAATGAATTCTCAAAGTATAATGTTTAAACATTTTTTTTTTTAAGACAGGGTCTTGCTCTGTCACCCAGGCTGGAGTGTAGTGGTGCAAACATGGCTCACTGTAGCCTCAACCTCCTGGGCTCAAGCGATTCTCCTGCCTCAGCTTCCCAAGCAGCTAGGATCACTGATACATGCCACCATGCCTGGTTAATTTATTTTTTATTGTTTGTAGAAATGGGGTCTTCCTGTGTTGCCCAGACTGGACTCAAACTCCTGGGCTCAAGCAGTCCTCCCACCTTATCCTCCCAAAGTGCAGGAATGACAGGCATAAGCCACTGTGTCAGGCCTATTTAAACATCTTAATTGGCTAGGCTACTACAAACTGAATTTATCTGACTTAATAAGTTCACATTTCTCTGAGAATCTGCATGTTCCAAAGTATGTTAAATGGCAAATTGCATGGCACAAGCTCAATCCTTTCTACAAGACTAATTCTCATAAAACACATAAAGATAGAAGTTAGACTGCTGTACAATCTTGGAAGGGCCTTCTGACCAGTGTGTACGGTTAAGATATACTTTATAATTTCCAAAGTAGAACAAATATTTCTCTCTCCACTTTTTATTTCGAAATTGCCACTCTTAAGGAAAATGAATCACAATATGATCAGTTCACACATCCTCCAGTAATTTATCACTCTTACTAAATTTTAGGGGCCACACAAAAAAAGAAGTGATTCCTTCCAGAGCTACTGCTTTTAAGTGAACATGTATAAAATGCATACTTCACTTTGTTGTTAGATTGTGTTCCAAGACACGCTGCACAAGCCTTTTAAAGCGCAGTAAAACATCTTCAATGTAACCTCAGCTCTAATTGCTAATTTTCTTTTTTTGAAATGGAGTCTTAGTTGCCCAGGCTGGAATGCAGTGGGGTGATTTCGGCTCACTGCAACCACCGTCTCCCACGTTAAAGTAATTCTCCAGTCTCAGCCTCTGAGTAGCTGGGATTACAGGTACCTGCCATCATACATGGCTAATTTTTGTATTTTAGTAGAGACGGGGTTTCACCATGTTGGCAAGGCTCGTCTTGAACTCCTGATCTCAGGTGACCCATCCACCTCAGTCTCCCAAAGTGCTAGGATTACAGGCGTGAGCCACTACACCTGGGCTTTTTATTTATTTATTTATTTATTTATTTATTTATTTATTTTGAGACAGAGTTTCGCTTTTGTTGCCCAGGCTGGAGAGCAATGGTGCAGTTTCGGCTCACTGCAACCTCTGCCTCCCGGGTTCAAGCGATTCTCCTGCCTCAGCCTCCGAAGTAGCTGGGATTACAGGCACATGCCACCATGCCCAGCTAATTTTTGTATTTTTAGTAGAGATGGGGTTTCACCATGTTGGCCAAGCTGGTCTCCAACTCCTGACCGCAGATGATCTGCCCACCTTGGCCTCCCAAAGCACTGAGATTAAAGGTGTGAGCCACCGCGCCGGCCTCTATTTTCTAACAAGTGAATTTTAGCAACTAGTAAATGATGTTCATTTTAGTATCAGGGATATATCTCATAACATTTATTTTAAAACTAAAAACTAAACAAAAAAATTCTAACAAACCTAATAAAGCTACACTTTATAAGAGGTTATATTGGAAAGAACATGTAGCTTGGTAGTCAGATGCCACATCTGCATCTTCCTAGTTGTGTGACTGGGCAAGTTATCTGACTCTGTTTTCTAATCTGTGAAAGGGGGATGATAATATTTAACTCACAGGGCTGCTATGAAGATTGAGTTAATAAATGTAGAACATCTTACCACATTGCTGATACCTGGTTTCATTATTAATGGTTTCATTATTAGTAACTATTACCCTGTCTCATTTTTCAAAAGAATTTAAGAAAGGCACTATCAAAAATTGCAGACAGCCAAGATCGATGACCTCAGAAATAACTTCAGCTCTCCTTTTGCAATTGGGAAGTCCTTCTTGGTTCCATTTTAAGCTTCTAAGTAAAAATCAAGTATTATTTGTTAGAGTCTAATTAAATAAAAATAAGAGGTACATATACAAAGAACTAAATTACATTGTACCTAAAGTCTTTGACATGTAAAATGAAAAAAGTCTTTAATCTGTTATGATAAATATACATCCTTGTAAAAGAGTAAAATTAAAACAATCTTCAGAGTCACTTTAATTACAAAACAGTTCAGCCCAGGCAAGAAAAAGTTCTATTCCTCGTCAATGACAAAGAATTCTTTTATTATCTCTGTGTTTACAAATCACTTCTGCACACAAATGTTAATAACTGGAACATTTCACTAATATGTCCCAACCCAGGTGGGCATGGTTACTCGTGCCTGTAATCCCATCCCAGCACTTTGGGAGGTGGAGGCAGGCAGATTACTTGAGGTCAGGAGTTTAAGATCAGCCTGGCCAACATGGTGAAACCCTGTCTCTACTTAAAATACAAAAAATTAGCTGGATGTGGTGGTGTACACCTGTAGTCCCAGCTACTCGAGAGGCTGAGGCAGGAGAATAGCTTGAACCTGGGAGGTGGAGATGGCAGTGAGCCGAAATCACGCTACTGCATTCTAGCCTGGTCAACAGAGTGAGACTCTGTCTCAAAAAAAAAAAAAAATACCAACTCAGCTTAGTGTCTACATGAATACAATACAAATATTACACAGAAGGAAAGAAAGGCCACTGCTGTGTAATGTAAGAACCAACAGATCTGTTTTTGCATATTCCAATAACCACTATTTATAAGTATTAAAATTTAACAATTCCTTCTGTTCTATGCATTTGAATGTAATCTCAATATATAGGACAATGCAATAAATTTTTGCCTGAAATATAAAAGAATGGATAGTAAAACTGCATTAGATTTTAGGAGAGCAGTGATATTCTTGGAGGTGGGGGTGATACTGACCTGACAATCAGCAGAATCACACTTCAGTCCTCAAGTATAAACTCTTCAAGTTTTCTTCAGTAAAAAATTGGGAAAATTGCCAAATACATTTAAAATGCCATTAGCATGGTGGAAATGTGTCCAATGCTGCAAAATAAGGAGAAATCTATTGTTCATGTGATTATACTATAAACAATTTGGTAAATCCCATTAATGTCAACTGTTATCACTGATGAGGTCTGACAGCTGTAGGTTGATAATGACAAGAAAGAAGAAAATAGCCAGTTCTTCAAGTTGAAGTTGAATAATATATGAAAAATACCAGGAATCTGACTTCCCTATGGTAACTAAAATAAGGAAAGGTAGAGGCTTTTGAGATCTTTCCTACTTTAAGATGTCCACTGCCATTTTAACTTCTGACTTTTCTCTTTCTGAAATGACAAAAACCTATTTGCTTGAATCACCATGACTTAAGCACAATGCACTTAGATTTAGCCGGGCGTAATGGCGGGTGCCTGTGGTCCCAGCTACTCCTGAGGCTAAGGCAGGAGAATGGCGTGAACCTGGAAGGCAGAGCTTGCAGTGAGCTGAGATCATGCCACTGCACTCCAGCCTGGGCGACAGAGTGAGACTCCGTCTCAAAAAAAAAAAAAAAAAAAAAGAAAAGAAAAAAAAAAAGAAAAAAAATAATAATTACAACGGAAATTTTTAAACTGCCAAATTCATATAAGGAAAATTCTCATCTCCTCACCTCCCAACAATCCATAAACAAACAAATCAGCCTCTTAGCATCTCGACTTTGTCTATAAGGTTGATTACGCATCCTCAGCTTCTACTCTTTCACATTTATGATCAGATGTTAAATGTTAAATTATACGTAATTTTTTTGTTTATGATTTCCTAACAGTGTATTAGGCCCAAAAAATTTTATTAAAAATGATAGGCCTTCACTTTTATTTGATAAAATGTAATCTTTGTTTTGTATTTTAAGGCACTAAGTCTGAAAGCCCATTTGAGTTGCTGAAACCTAACAGTCAAATGGGGACAGTGTCAAAGGAAGAAATAATGCTGCAATAAGTCCTTGGTTGCTTCATTAAAACAAGAATCAGTAATTAAACTAATTACAAATCTCTCAAGTTAGGACAGGAAGTATGGGTTTGTTAAACAGTCAAGAATATAGATAGACCCAACAACATATACATAAACCACTGAATAAGCTATTCCAGCAATTTCTGCCCAATATATGGGCAGAATTATGTGGCCAAGGATATTCAGAAAAAGCGTATTTCTAGCCCTATATTCATTATCAGAAATATGATTGACGGATATTTGGTATGCCACATTGTGTCTATAGACTCATTCCCTACTCGTGTTCTAAGTAAGCTGTCACTTGTCATTTTCATCATCAGTGACTGAGGGATAAGATCAGTTCAACTAGATGCTCAGCTCATTCCTTCCAAGACCCAAATTACCTTAGAGTTTAGACACAGATATTTCTATGAGTCTATGGACTCATTTCCTACTTATTTTCTAAGTAAGCTGTCACTTGTCATTTTCATCATCAGTGACTCTGAAGGACAAGATCATTTCAACTAAATGCTCAGCTCATTCCTTCCAAGACCCAACTTTCCTCAGAGTTTAGACAGATATTTCTAAGGAATGCTACAGTCTATAAATCTGAAATAAAAACCACCTGTAGACAAATTGTCTGGATACATTACCATACACTGTGGTATAGCCAGCTATAGCTATATTAAGCTTTATAGTTTTCTCAATAAAAAATACACATATAAATATATACAATAAAAAAGATAAAGATTTTATCTTTAAAAAAGATACTTTAATAGTCTGGAAAAATAAACCCATTTAAGGGCTAAGTATAACACTTACCTCAGCCTTCTGAGTTGCTGAGATTATAGGCATGCGCCACCACGCCCAGCTAATTTTGCATTTTTAGTAGAGATGGGGTTTCTCCATGTTGGTCAGGCTGGTCTCAAACTCCTGACCTCAGGTGATCCACCTGCCTCGGCCGCCCAAAGTGCTCGGATTACAGGTGTGAGCCACTGTGCCCGGCCTACACTTATTTTTATGTTATCAATAAGTGATTTCAAATGAGCCTGCCCAGCATACCATTTGGTCTATTCACAGGTTTCATCCCACGATGAAACCTTAGGCCAATAGCCAGGAGAGCATGAGTCTTTTCTAGATGAACTTTATTGTGCCAATAGTCAGAAGTTATGGGTATTAAAAACTGCATCCCCCCGACTACCCCACTGTGCCTCCTTAATTGTAGTACTGATTTTGCCTAGAAGTATGTTGATAGGGCTTGGGCTCTGTTCATTTTATTCTGATATTTTCCCCTTTCTGGATATTATCCAAGCTCCACTCATTCTGGTTTCGGTTATGCTTTTTTTTTTTTTCCTTGAAGAAGTCCCAGTTTCTGCTCTGGAATTCTGACTTAATTCCATAAGATAACAAGCATTGCTGCCATTTTATCATATAGAGACTGAGTGGCAGAAAAAGAAACACCCCAAACAGCTTCTATAGCTATGTAAACAGTAGGACAGGGCAGGACAGGGCAGGGCAGGGTGGAGTACAAGCAAGATGTTTGTCTCTCTATTATCTGGGTGTGAGCATATCTACATAGAACTGAGGCTTTCTTTCTTTCCAGGTGGTAGGTTTTTCCACGTAAGGTAGGAAAACAACATTTTTAGATGAGGCTTTAGATAGTTCCTGACATAGAAATGCCTCAAAAAAATCTGTATAGATCTATTTAAATAAATCAACTGGACTAATTTTTTTAATCAGTAATTTAACCTAGGAGATCATTCTTGCCACACTGGATAAAAATCACTTTTTAATTATATACTCAGATATCAAACTTAAGAAATTTATACTCAGCTATCAAATTTAAGAAATTTATATTTGGACTACAAATAACTCAGATTAAGGTAATTCAGTGAGTTTTTAGTATTGGTGAGCAAAGTGATTAGTGATCAGTGAGCAAAGATATAAAGGAGATTGACTCCAATTATGTAAATATTCTTTTCTTTTCTTTTCTTTTGAGATACAGCCTCACTGGGTTGCCCAGGCTGGAGTGCAGTGGCGCAATCTTGGCTCACTGCAACCTCTGCCTCTGCAGTTTAAGTGATTCTCCTGCCTCAGCCTCCTAAGTAGCTGGGACTACAGGGCAATGCTATCATGCCTGGCTAACTTTTGTATTTTTAGTAGAGACGGTGTCTCAACATGTGGCCAGGCTGGTCTTGAACTCCTGACCTCAAGTGATTCGCCCGCCTCAGCCTCCCAAAGTGCTGGGATTATAGGTGTGACCACCACGCCCAGCCCGTAAAGACTCTTTCAATACATATAAGCCAAGCCAAAATACAGGGGGCCAGTAAATTCTTAAAACTCAAAGAGCCAAGATGGACAGGTGAAATGGGTGTTTTTGATAGTTTCCCACTAGATCATGCACTTTCTTAAAACCCAGTATACATGAAAGAATAATAAAAAAGAAACTTGCCACATTTACAAACACTAAATCTGAATATGAACAGAAATGCACTGCTATTTTAAAAAATGCATTCAAAGCTTCAGTTAATCGGGTTGCTCCTTAACAAAAAATTAAAATGTATTCAAAACAACCTCATATCGGGGGTAGAAGGTGTTGACACACTACCTTGACTATCTCAAAATATTTAAGATTCTAATTTTTCAGAAGGATTATTTATTCATTTGGAATAAAAGAGTGACAACATTCTAAATGGTCCCTTTCATTCCTCTTTGGCATTTAAAGGTTAGGCTAGGAAGCAAAACATATCAACGTGCTACTAGAAAATAATTTTCTGGCTGGGTGTGGTGGCTTATGCCTATAATCTCAGCATTTTGGGAGGCCAAAGCAGGAGGATCAATTGAGGCCAGGAGTTCAAGGCCAGCCTGGGCAATAGCAAGGCCTTGTCTCTACAAAAAATAATAAAAAAAAATAAAAATTAAAAAAGAATTTTCTGGTTAAGAAAAGCAGATCTTTTGTACATTTGTTAAAGAAAGCTGTTTTTGAAGGCCGTGGCTCACGCCTGTAATCCCAGCACTTTGGGAGGCTGAGGCTGGCAGATAACCTGAGCTCAGAAGTTTGAGACCAGCCCGGACAACGTGGCAAAATCCCGTCCCTACAAAAAATACAAAAATTAGCCAGGCATGGTGGCGTGTTCCTGTAGTCCCAGCTACTTGGTAGGCTGAGGCAGGAGAATTGCGGCGAGCCCAGGTGGTGGAGGTTGCAGTGAAGCAAGATTACGCCACTGCACTCCAGCCTGGGCAGTACAACGAGACCCTGTCTCAAAAAAAAAAAAAAAAAAAAGAAAGAAAAAAGAAAAGAAAGCCGTTTTGTTACTATTTACAAAAGTTCTAAAATTAAGGTATGATAACTAATCTCATTTTATTCAATTCCAATATTAAACAGTATAAGATTTATTATATCTCAAATCAAGCTTCTCTCAGTTGAAGGTGAAAGATATTACTGGAATATTTGGATTACTACAATACATGTGTTAAATATACATAACACAGGCTGAATTGTACCTCCCAAAATTCATATGTTGAAGTTCTAAGCCCAAGTACCTCAAAATGTGACTGAATTTGGAAACAGGATCTCTAAAGAGATAATTAAGTTAAAATGAGGTCATTAGGGTGGGCTCTAATCCAATATGACTGGTGTCTTATAAGAAGAGGAAACAGAGATATATGGGTCAGAGTGAAGACAATGTGAACACAGACATCTTTATAAGCCAAGAAGAGATGCCTCAGAAGAAACCAATCTTGCCCACACATTGATCTCAGACTTCTAGGCTCCAGAATTGTGAAAAAATAAATTTCTATTTTTTAAGCCACCCCATCTGTGGTACTTTGTTATGGCAGCCCTAGCAAACTCACGCAACATGTTAACCACTAACTACTTTGACAGACTGTTAGAACAACTAGATCTAATCTAATTGTAAGTAAGGGGGATCTAAGCCTTCCTCTTATCATGACAGCACTACAACATAGTATTTCTCAGAATGCCTTATTTTGCCTTATCAGTCTGTTTTTTCCCAGCCACACTATAGATAGCATTATATAAAACAGAACGGTTTGGGAACATTTTTAGAGAAAATCAA